CTGCCTCAAGTGTTGCTGATCTGCGCCATGTGGTTGGTGCCAGTGGTCATCTTCTCTGGTCATTTGACCGCTAGCGAGCTATTCTCCTCTATGGCCGAAGTAAGAGGACTGCTAGAGACAGAGCAGATGATCGTCAACGTCATCGACGGCTACGTCGCCAAGGAACGCAGTCGTCTAGAACTGCTTGAACGGTATGGCACAAAGAGTTAATCCTCACTGTTCCTATCAGTTGGATACTTTTAGCATTGTCCGAGAGCATAAGCGACAGAGGCAAGAGTCCCACGACTACAATCTGATGATCAGTAATCCAGTTCAAGCGTTCTTACTCATTTGCAGACTGATGAACACCGAACGGCTCATGCATGGCAACGTTGCTGAAGGTACGGTGATCCACTGAATTGACATTATCTAACTGACCACTGGTCATTTGGCTGCCGTTTGCGCATTATAGATGGATAGTTCTGTGGATTTTTTCTTGGCCGAGGCACTGAGGCCTTCATTTCTCTTAATCGCTGCCCAGTTCTTCCCGCTTTGCAATAGCTGTTTCTTAGTCTCGTGCTACTTCTGGATGTGAATTCATTTTTTCGTTTTTTGTTTCGAAAAATCATAATAGAATTTACGCAATAGTTGGGAATAAAATGATTCCCAAACAGCCTGTCGAAATCATGATGAAACTGAGTCAAATTGAGAGAGAGAAAAAAAATACTTTGTCAGATGGTCAAACATTTATTTCAGCAATACATATATACATGCATATGATGGCAAAGATTCTCAAGAATTTAATTAAGTTCTGTAACAGACGCCATGATGAAATCCTTCGTCATTCCATCGGGACCATGAGTCATTTTACCGTTACGCTTCTGCGTTCACAAACCGTTTGCGAAAAAAATCCGGTCCTAAATGTCAAAAATAAATGCCTCAGGTCGATTTCTTGGTCGGCCAGCACTTCCTCTTTTCCGTACTACAGTATGGGCACCCGGTCTTCTCCTATGGTTGCACCATATTGCGTCTTCTGCTAGGTGGTGTCTGATTGGTTCCAATAGATTACAGCTAATGGTGGCTGGCTGTTGCATTATATTTCGAGTGATACAGCAAAAGTGGTGATAAGCTGAGATTATAGCCAATATCATTAGCCA